CTTGAAGAGGGAGATTTGAGAAAAATGCATGGTCGTGCTCAAATGGATTACATAGTAATCATTTTTTTTTGCAATTCTAACTCAGATTTCAAGAAATGATTTGTAGATTAATATGATCTCAACATGAGATGCAATCATATTATCAAATCGACACATATTGACTTAAGGAATTTGAATATTGCAAACTTGTCTTAGACAAGTGGGATATTGAAGGTTTTATGTCTTCGTCAAATGTAATTACTAGATATATAATGGATCAAATTATGGAGATAATTAAGTACGTTCTTTTGGGTCTTCGTTTTATCATAGCTAGAGGTACTTACGACCTTTGGACAAGTAAAATAGTCCAAAGCCCAATTGAACATATCCTATAAGGTCACACAAAGGGCCTAGATTGAGCAAAAGAGGAAGAGGCCCATAATGGGCCTCATCTCTCTAGGTGGCCGACCATGTGGGTTGGTTTGGAAGGTTTCGGGCTTAATAACCTAGTCTAATTATAAATAGACTAGGTTCCTAGGGTTTTCATGACACAATTTACTGTCAATCAAACCCGAGTTAGCAAAAACGAAACCTAGCCCTCTTAAACTCCCTTTCCCTCTCACGGCACTCTCTCTCCTCCTTGCGCCGAAGTGTGTTCAATGTTGGTGGTGTTTCGTGGTTGCCGGTTATCCATAAAGGTGGTGATCGTGGTGCATTTCTCCTTCATTCAACCAATATAGCATTGGTGGACGGCTCATTCGAATCCCGTGGACTAAGTAGAGGAGCAAAGCTTGGGTATCTATTCTTTCCCTAATTGTCAATCAATTGCTACGTGGACATCACGCTTCAAAGGTGTAATTATGTGATTCTTGTGTGATATGCATGCGATCTTGTTTTTAGTGGTATGAATGTGATTCATGAAATTCCATTTAGAGTACCTAAATCCCTACAATGACATCCATTCAGGTGACTTCGCTCAAAGAGAGCATTTCCCATTCGGGTGGTACATTGCTTTATAAACTCGCTACTCAAGCGGAAAAACACAAACTGCCCATCCAAAATGGACCAGGGACGGTCGTTAGCCATTTGTATATGCCAAACTTTAAAAGTGACGACCTAGACGGTTAAAGGAGGCCACCTGCCCAACGTAGAATAAAGACGACCTTCAAATGTTCAGATCCTTAAGACTTAATTTTATTGTATTATTAAAGTTTTAAACTCGGCTAAATTTTATTGAACTAACTAAGTTTTCAACTCATACGACTCTTAAGACCGTCCGATCTTCTCAATGAGAATCTCAATGGAACTTTAATAAGCTAGACGGCGTAAAATGACCGTTTATATTATTAGTTGTCCTAATTACACTTGGCTACTTAGGCGGCTAAGTACGAACAGCCTATCCTAAGTAAGAGAGACGGTCATTAGCTGTTTGCGCTGCTCTTGCCAATTATTTCACCGTCTGCTCATTGGACGGCTATTTAAATCACTTGGTTTGGGGCAATCACGGTAGTGATTGGTTGACTTAGAAATTAGTCATACTTTAAAAGTATCAAAAATTTCTTAGTCAATCAATCTAATTTTGAAACCAACTAAACGACCATCCAAGGGCAAGAACAGCCGGTGGAGTTGTTACTGCATGCATTAAATAGGGTAACGAAACACTTAGTTAAATTTATGCAAATTTCAAGGTTACTTGAAAAATCAAAAACTTGAATTTTTTTTGATAAACCGACTACTTAGCCGGTATAATTATATATACTTCAAGTTAAGATCCTATGATCAACATTAAGAAAAATTGTTAACCAGTTATATAATCGGGAGAAACATTGTTAAAACCCGACCCCGTGATTGGTAAAGATACACAATACTCGGCACACGGGCTGTAAAAGCAAGTACTTGGCTATCAAGCCAAAAATAAAATTAAGATTAACTTTGTGGAGGGGGTGGCAGCTCTGCATCTATAGCCGACTTTTCAACATCCTCGGCCGGCTGCTCCCGCTTTTCTTCATTCTCAGCCATCTTATCGCCTTCGACCGTCTGTCCAAGCTGGTGGGCAGTAAGAACATCAGTTTCACGGTCAAACTACTCCTCCCAAACTTGGTAATCCTCAGTTGGAAAGAGAATTGACCAAGCCATCCGCATTTTGGGTACGTACTTGGCCTCGTTCTCCTGGACCAGCTGCTCATTCTCAGCCTCGGTCTCCTTCTTTAGCTGGGACGCCTGGGCAGCGAGCTGATTCTTCAAGGTATTAACTTAGATTCGGAGGTCGTCTGCCTCATGATCAACATCCCGCAAGGCCTTGAGGTTTGACTTGGCGGTTTTCAGCTCGACTTCTAAGGCGGTCACCCTCTTTTTGGCCGCATCTAATTTACTTTTAACTTGGAGATTAGCAGTCACCTGAGAATATATAATATGACTGGTTTGTAATTCATTTCTCATGACGTCATATTGGGCGGTATTTAAATTAGAGGCAGCCCATTCTTTGGCACACTTTACTTCCTTAGTCTTCTCAACAAATGAGGTTTTGAGCCCTTCCACCCGTAACATGGCTTGTAGGCCGTACAAAAGAAAACATTAGAGAAAGGCGGTAAAATAAGTTAAAATATCTTAGGGATAAGTTACTCAGGTTACCTAAACCAGCAGAGAGTTAACGGTGTCAAAATTGAACGTCCCCACTCTTCTTAGTGCCGCCCACGGACCTTCACGAAGCTCATTGGTAAAAAGAACGAGTCATTTAGGCCTTTTTGGAGTCAAGCACGGCCATGTTTAAGAGAGGCACGGCCATGTATTCTTGAAGAAAGGAAGAAGAATTAATCTGGAAGTTAGGCACGTCCGTACCCAGTTTAGGCACATCCGTGCCTAGGCGTCAGAAACCGAAGAAAACTCTCTGGAAGTGAGGCACGTCCGTGCCCCTGCTGACTTTGAATTTTCATATGAGGCACGTCCGTGCCCAATATAGGCATGTCTGTGCCTGGAGTCCAGAAGATGAGAAAGAACCTTACACGAAGTGAGGCACGTCCGTGCCTCTTAGGAAGACTGCGCGATATATTTTTGTTGCGTTTTCTTATCTTTTTCGGAGTATAAATACTCTAGACTTTATATTATTTCATTATTGAGTATTTTATTAGCATCTAGTTTTTATTATTAGACCTAGTTCCCTCTATTATTTTTACGTCGCTTTTGTAATTCAAGATTCAAGTTCTACTTTTGCAATCTCCATTTATTTCAAGATTTGGTATTTTCTTTTCATCTTTTGTGTCTTAATTATGTTTTCCTTGATTATTATTGTTATTGTTTCTTTCAATATGTGTGAGTAGTTTTCTTATTCCAAGATCTAGGGTAGCCCAATTATGATTGATGCATGATTTAATTCTTTAAATTCTCTAATAACTATTGCAATTGTTAATGCTAAATTGATTGTGATTATGCCAATACTATATTAGAGATAATTAGTATTGTTATTATTCCATAGTTTCAATCACAACGAGAGTTGGGTTTTAACGGATTTGAGTAAATTAATTTAGGGTTTGAGATTCATCACGAGAGTAGTTGAATTGATAATTGGGAAGTGAAGTAAAGTGTTTAATGTCTCTAATTTGCATGATACCATGAGAATAGGCTTGATTGTGGGTTAGGGAAGCCATTGATACTCGAGAGAGGTCCTTGGTATTGATTAGGGTTTGCTTTTCCCCATGTTAATTGGAATTGTATGTTAGGGGTAGATATATAATTGCATCGATCGTAATTGTGGTGATACTTGATCTTGGATGTTTTAGTTTATTGATTTATTATATTCGTTTGATTTATTCTAAGTTTTCCATACTTTAGCTCTTAGTTTATTCCACCATTGATTGATTCTTGCTTGGTGATTACTTGAGTCTAGATAATTTAGGTGAACCTTAGTCTCTTAGGATTCGACCCTTACTTTCCCGACTACATAGTTAAGAGGAATAGTTAGGTTATTTTTGTTAGGTACGCGACATGCCTATCAAATTTTGGCGCCGTTGCCGGGGACTAACGGTTTCTTCTGATTATTTGTGATTCGTTTTTGCTAAGCTTTATTCGTTGCTTCGACTATTGTCTCTTGTGTTTTTGATACTCTGCTTTTAGTTCCTTGTTGCATGCAAACACGAGGTTTAGGATCAGACGATTTAATACCTTTTGATTCTGAAATCGAAGCAACTGCACGGAGACGAGGAGGTAAAAGAAGGAGGAATCAATATAATAGAAACATGGTAGACCAAGGAACGAAGTCTCTTTTGGAGTACGGTATCCCTGATACAACAACCGGACTCCTCTCTAGCATTGTCAGGCCACCTGTCACTGCTCAGCACTTCGAATTGAAACCGCAGTTCATTCAATTCCTCTCTAATGATTAATTTGCAGGCACACCACATGATTGCCCAGTAAGTCATATTGATAGTTTCTTGAAGAAATGTGATACTATGAAAATGAATGGTGTTACAGATGATGCTATCAGACTTCGCCTTTTCCCTTTTTCACTACGGGATAGGGCGAAAGAATGGTTGAGAGATGAAGGCACTAGCTCGTTTGATACATGGGACAAGCTAGTGAAAGCTTTCCTGGTCAAGTTCTTGGGACAGGAAAAGACTGCAAGGCAAAGAAATGAACTATCTACTTTCAGGCAGTCAGATGATGAGTCCCTTTATGAAGCATGGAGGAGATTTAAGCGCTTGCAAAGACAATGCCCTCATCACGGTATCCCAGAGTGGCTGTTGATTCAAACCTTCTATAATGGCCTAACCCATGAGTTCCGAATCTACATTGATGTTGCATCAGGGGGTTCTCTCTTGACAAAGAACCCAATTGAGGCAAAGGAGCTGATTGAGAAGGTGGCGGCCAATGATAATTATCATCCAACAGGTCGTCCGAATGTGAAAAAAGGAGGTAAGCTTGATGTAGATGCTTTGACTATGTAAGCCAGTTTTGTGCAGGCACTAACAAGCAGGTTTAATAAGCTCCAAGCTGAAACTTTAACTAGCCCCCAGGAGGTTTGTCAAATGTGTAATGTGCAGGGTCACATCACACCTGATTGCCCGCAGAACATGAGTGAGATGTCTATTGAACAAGCCAATGCTTTATACTCCTCAAATCCCAAAAATCCCTATGACCCCTACTCCAATTCCTACAATGAAGGCAAGAAACACCATCCCAACTTCTCTTATAAGAATACCCAAACACAACAGAATCCACCACCATCGCCTCGACCCAACAACTACAACTCACCACCCGGTTTCCAACAAATACCACCTATGAACCAACAACCAACGCAACTACTTCCCCAAAAATCTAGCCTTGAGTTGATGATGGAGAGCTTCATTAACACAACTAACAGTGCCATCCAACAACAAGGTAGCTCCATCCAACAGTTGCAGACCCAGAGTAAGCTCATGGAAACCCAAATAAGTCAACTCTCACAACAGGAGAGTTGTTTATCAACTCTTCATGATCAAGCGAAGGTCCAAAAAGAACAATGCAATGCAGTTTTCTTGAGAAGAGATGAATCATCTCCGAGGCAAATAGATGAAAAAGTGTGCAGCGTGGAGTCTAGAAAAGATGAAAAGGGTAAAGATGCTCAAGGTCCCAAATATGTTGCTCCACCGGCTTATGAGGAACCGATGCCCTTCCCGCAAAGGTTATCAAGGGTCGTGCTCGATAGAAATTTTGGGAAATACTGCAAAGCTCTTCAGAAGGTACACGCCTCTACTCCTTTTTCCGATCTTTTAATTCAAATGCCTCAATTTGCGAATTTTGTGAAGAATATCAAAGATCAACATGAGGATAAGGAAGTAGTCAATAAGAAAGGCCCTACTCTCTTATATGATAACCTACCACCTAAGCTGCATGATCCTGGTTATTTCACTATTCCCTGTACGATAAACGAAAAAAATTTCGACAAGGTTTTGTGCGATTTAGTTGCTAGTGTTAACTTAATGCCTTATTAACTGTATGAGAATTTAGGTTTGCAAGGACTTAAACCTTCCCCTATTTCTCTTCAAATGGCTGATAGGACCTCTAGACTCCCTAATGGTGTGGTTGAAGATGTAATAGTTACGGTTGGTGAACTTGTTTTTCCTGTTGATTTTGTCGTCATGGATATGCAAGATGATCATCAGATCCCGATTATATTTGGTCGTCCATTTCTTGCCACAAGTCAAGCCCTAATAGATGTTCCTAAAGGACAAGTGACCATTAGGGCCCAGGATAAACAAGTCATGTTTAAGCTCTTTAATGAACATAATTCTATATTTGATGGTGGTACTTGCTTAAGAATCGATGCTACTAACCCTTTGGTTGATAAGTATGTATTTCACAGAAATTTCGTGAGAAACGAGGATACAATTTCACCCAATGATGTGTTTGGCAACATGAAGGTAAGTTAGGATACAAGGCAGGTCAATTATACAATGAAGGAGTCACTTGGAAGCAGACATTTTCATGGGCCACATCGCGGAGTTCCTTCTTCGTGTGGTGACCCAGGCTGAGCTATCACTACGGTCGAGCTAAAGACCTTATAAACAAGCGCTAAATGGGAGGCAACCCATTCTCGAATTTTTTTTTACTTGGTTTTTATTCTTATTTTATTTTATTTTGATTTTAGATTTAGTTATTAGTGTTCCCATTTATTTTATTTTATTTTATTTTATTTTTCTTTCTTTATGCAGGTGAAAAGAACAAAATCCTTGAAGGAGGATCTTACAGAAGAGGCACGTCCGTGCCTCACAGGTGCACGCCCGTGCCTCCAACCCATAAAGCCGAATTTTTATGAGCAAGTCCGTGCCTAAAAGAGGCACGTCCGTGCCTCATACTTAAGAAGCGAAGTGAAAACTCTGCCTCAGAGGCACGTTCGTGCCTCAGCTCAGATCACCGCCTTTCAGTATGAGTTCTATGATATTGGGGGCATGATGCGTCAGCATTTTCAGGGCGGTCCTAGCTCCGGCCCGAGGTATGATTCCCCCCCTCCCAATCAGTGGACCTGTTTCCCTCTCCCCTTGTCCACTTTCCACTGATTTATGCATACATTGAGGACAATGTATGTTTTAGCTTGGGGGAGGGTTCATTTTTCAACATGTATATATTAGTTTTTTTTTTTTTTTTATGTTTGGTCAGTTTTTCTTTCTTATTAGTGTCTTTGATATGCTATTACACGCTTATGCTTCTATGATAATGATCATACATGTGTGCTTTGTGAAAAGAGTTTTCGAAAACCCATTTACCAATTTGCTTGGAATTTAGTAGGCTTGTGGCTAGGATGGTCTCCCCGCTCTACTTATGTGAATATTTTGTGTACCTGGTGAGATCATTGAGCCATATTTGACTGATTTCATTCTATCTCAGTCATACTTTTTCATGTGTGCTTAGTGTAGGGTTTCGTAGTGACTCGACACTACGCGGAAGGAAACCCACCAAGACCCGCCCCTTAATTAAAACAATTAACAAGCATATTAAACTTAATCAAACAAGATTAAGAACAAGAATTATACCTTTGTCGCGTGCTTCGCTCCCAAAGAGCTCTTACTTCAAAATTCCGAAAACACGAGATCTCCAACGGATCGACCCGAGCGTCCTAAGTCTTGAAGGTTAATCAAGACCCGGACAAAATAACTATGAGTTTTACGAATCAAAGGTTTACTCTTACTTAGAGTTGCCTTTTTAATTCCACTCAGGGCTGTTTCTTTCCCAATACCCAAGCATGGTATTTATAGGAAAAAGAACCCTTAATTTGGTCCCCACAACCTTGCACAAAACCTGGTCAAGGGAGGCTAGCTGACTGCCATCTAGCATGCCAGCTAGGGCTGCCAGCACGCATTGCCTTGCTGCCCAGCACCCAGCCATTCAGCCAGTGCGTGCTGGTGCTGGTGCTGGTGCTTGTGTTTTGGCGCTGGGCGCTGCTAGCACGTAGTGCTGGCACTAGCCCCAACAGCCCACGCACAGGCTAGCCCCCACTCTTTCCTTGCGCGCCATTGCTAGCACAGCCAGCATGCGTGCTGCTAGCGAGCCACGCATGCTGGCCCTTCCCTCACATCATCCTACGCACCACGCACGCAGCACGCTACACACCATGCACCACGCAACGCTCGCACACGCATCAGCCAGTGCCTAGCACTATTATGCTTGGTGCGAGGCACGCACACACATAGGTGCGCTGTGCTTGGTACGTGGCCTGCGATGGTGCCTACAAGCAAGGCCAGTGTTGCTTGCTAGCTCGTTGTGCTTGGTGCTGCCATGCGAAGGCACGCACACAAGCACACAGCTCCGTGCTGCTGGGCGACGGTGCACATGCACACGCACACACGCGTGTGCCTAGCACTGCGATGGTGTTGTGCGTGGTGCTAGGGTGCTGCGATAGCCTGCCATGCGCACCCAGGCACCTAGGCTAGCACGCTGCTAGCTGCGATGGCAGCCTGGGGCTTGTGGTGCTTTGCGATAGGCTGCGATGGTGCACCTAGGCTGCGATGGTGCGCCTAGCACACCTAGCGTGCGTAGGCTTGCGCCTAGCCATGCTAGGTGCATGCTAGCTTGAACTAGCCTAGCATCCACATGGTTAGACCATTGTGGTGCTACGGCTACGTTTGTACTTGTCGCTTTGTGATTTTGCGACGCTCGGTCTCGACGTCCTAGGCTCGATATCCGACGTCTATATTCGTAAAACTCTGGTGACTCATTAAATCTTTTCAGATTAATTCGTCGTCTTGAATCGGTGATTCGATTGGGTTCGACCCGAAGGGTTCAGTTAAGATTAAGTTGTAACTTCAATTATACATTGATATTATTGATCGGAAGCGGCCTCCACCTAGGCATTCCGATCACTTGAACTTATTGAAGAATTGGCTCTGTAATAATTCTGAACCCTCTATCGGAAGAATACACTTGTTGGAAGGACGCCATTCCTTTCAATCTCCCACTTGTCCTTCCGGACAAGTGTGCATACAGTGTATAGCCCATTTCCTATGTCACTTAATGTTTCTTCGTGAACTATAAGGTAAGATTCTTTGTTATCCTTATTACGTTCAGAAGTGTTTCTCGATCTCCGAGTTCGACTGTCAATAAGAAAATGATTTATAAAATCCATCTGAGCACGACCATGAATTTTCACAGTCTCGCTCTTCGAGCGGCCTTTGTAAACAACAAAACATTTTCCCTATTGTTAGTAGGGGGACAATCCCAGTCTTGTATTGTAAGTTCCTCTTACTAAGAGGACATAGTCACCTGAGTGTTCCCGTTATGATCCCCAGTTACGGCAGACGTTAGGAAATATCAAAGAGTCTAGTACTCAAACAAGAAAACTTCACAATACTCATGGTCGGAGGAAACAAGTTCCGATAGTCATAATGAGAAATGTAATTATGACAAAATTTAAATTTTCTTAAAGTACTCTCATAGGTCTTATCCAGTACAGTTTAAAACTGTGCCTGTGCAAATGATTTATGACCATCACGTCCTAGTAGCACAAGAAACGGTGCTGTAAATCATACTACACACTAATCTATGGCGGTCATCAATCGTCCATCTGTTAGATGACCTCGATTAGGGACAATTTTCGATTTAAATATTCAATGTTCACTTAACAGGTGTTTCTTTATCCAAGACATGGTCTTGATACCCTGTTTTGAATGTTTCCCTAAATCGAATGGACTCATTATTTAATTCTAAACCACAATTAAATAGTAATGGAGTGAATGATAATTTTGCACAAAAATTAATTACTCCATTAATGAATGGTTTTAATACAGTGTCTTACATTAAATATCCTATTTAATTAAAACACATGTACAGGGAATTTCAAAGCCAGTCTCCAACATGCTTGATTCCCATTGCCTCAATGTGCTAGTTGTGTTTCACTTGAGGCAGCGGTTTAGTCAAAGGATCGGCCACATTATCATCTGTGCCAATCTTACAAATTCTGATTTCACCTTCGGATTGCCATTCCCTTATCATGTGAAATCGCCTTTGCACGTGTTTGACCTTCTGGTGCTCTCTCGGCTCCCTGGCCTGAGCGATAGCTCCATTGTTATCACAATAGAGGTCTATCGGCCCCTTGATTGAGGGTACAACACCAAGTTCGCTAATGAACTTGCGAATCCAAACAGCTTCCTTGCCAGCTTCTGAAGCGGCCAAGTACTCGGCTTTAGTTGTAGAGTCTGCAGTGGTGCTCTGCTTGGCACTCTTCTAGCTAAACGCTCCTCCATTCAAACAGAATATGTACCTCGACTGTGACTTGAAGTCGTCTCTGTCAATTTGGAAGCTAGCGTCGGTGTAACCTTCAACAACCAGTTCTTTGTGGCCTCCATACATCAGGAATTTATCCTTGTTCATTTTCAGGTACTTAAGGATGTTCTTGGCCGCAGTCCAATGCGCCTCTCCTGGGTTCGATTGGTATCGACTCTTTGCACTCAAGGCATACGATACATCTGGCCTTGTACATATCATGGCATACATGATCGATCCGATTAGCGAAGCATATGGGATCTAATTCATTCTTTCTCGCTCAACAGGTGTCCGTGGACACTGTTTCTTGCTGAGAGTTATGCCATGGGACATGGGTAAATGCCCTCTTTTGGCATTCTCCATATGGAATCGAGCCAGTACCTTATCAATGTAAGTACTCTGGCTTAATCCAATCATCCTCTTAGATCTATCCCTGTAGATCTTGATGCCCAATATGTATTGTGCTTCTCCTAAGTCCTTCATTGAAAATCACTTTCCAAATCAGCCCTTTACGAACTCCAACAATTTTGTGCTGTTTCCAATGAGAAGTATGTCATCGACATACAGGACTAGGAATGTAATATCACTCCCACTGATCTTCTTGTATACACAAGACTCATCTGGATTCTTGATAAAACCAAACTCATCTGCTGGCTTGCTTTAGTCCATAAATGGACTTCTTCAGCTTGCAAACCTTTCCAGCGTTGCCTGGATCGATAAAACCTTATGGTTGTGTCATATACATAGTTTCTTCAAAAATTCCATTAAGGAAGGCAGTTTTGACATCCATTTGCCATATTTCATAATCGTAATATGCAGCAATCGCTAGGATGATCCAGACAGATTTTAGCATTGCAACTGGTGAAAAATTTTCATCATAGTCAATCCCGTGGACTTGTCTATAACCTTTTGCCACCAGTCTAGCTTTGTATATTGATACATTTCCATCCTTGTCTGTCTTCACTTTGAAGATCCATTTGCAACCAATGGGTGTATAACCCTCGGGCAAATTCACCAAGTCCCAGACTTGATTTTCAGACATGGAATCCATCTCGGATTTCATGGCCTCTTGCCATTTTGCAGAGTTGGGGCTCGCCATAGCTTGCTTGTATGTCGTCGGCTCATCACCATCCATGACTAGGATGTCCTGATCATCGGTTAAGACGATACCAAGGTATCTGTCTGGTTGAGATCTTTGCCGTTGCGACCTACGAAGGGTAATCGGTTGAGCATTTTCATTGTCTGTTTGACTCTGACCAATCTTCTTAGATGCTTCCAAAGTATCTAGATTGTCAGGTTGACATTGTTGCTCGTCCTCTCGAACTTCGTCGAGTTCGATTTTCCTCCCACTTGTCATTTTGGAAAGGTGATCCTTCTCCAAAAAGACACCATCACGAGCAACAAATACTTTGTTCTCGGATTTATTGTAGAAGTAATACCCTTTGGTTTCTTTTGGATATCCCACAAAGAAACACTTATCCAATTTGGGGTGAAGTTTGTCCGAAATTAATCGCTTGACATATTCTTTGCATCCCCAAATCTTGAGAAAAGACAACCTATGAGGTTTCTTAGTCCA